CCCTTTTTTTTTTTTTTTTAATTTAATTTAATTTTTTTATTTAGAGCCATCAGTAAAACATCAGCACCAAAAATTTAGCATTTATCCTTTGACATAAGGTATAAAAAATGGAACTACTTTGTCGTTAAAAAAATAACAAAATGGAATAATACCGAGTAAGTCAAAGGTTTGACATCTTTAGGAGAATAAATAAAAAAGAACCAAAGGAAAACTTTGAGCTTTGATCAAATTTAATTTTAATTTGGACATGGAATTGGAGGCTACAAGTTATTGGGACTTTGGAATTTCTGGTTCTTGTTAAGTTTATTTTTAGCTTACCAACTCTAAGTATTTTGCGTATGGAAATTTATCATTACACATTTTCTAATATGAGATTATCAAACAGTGAAATAGTAAATATTCAACCTTAATTATTCATGTCTCAAGACAAAAGTTCACAAAAGGAACCAGAATGAAGTGCTGTGGCACTGTATACTTCTGTTAGATTATACAAGACATCAATCCAGCCTGAGTTTTCATCTCGAAGAATACAAATCAGCAACCTTACGCTGTACTATAAGACCAACTCATCTTCAGAACAGCAAAGCCACACAGCAAACAACCTTTGTAAATATACTCACACTTGTTTGTCAGAAGATTAGGACCAAAATCCAAATTACAACTACGCCTCACTACCAGCGACAACTCAGGCGGAGTTGGTCCAAAATCTAAATTGAATGACAAATTTAAAGATTTGCTGTTCGCACAGATTCTGGTACCACCCAATATGCTGCATATGGTTGAAATTTGTCTTTATCCTAGAAATGCATAACAATTGAATTTGTTTTAAGGATACATGATTTACTTAGCACAAACTAAGAGAAAATGTGAATTGATACTGAAATTAACTGCAAATATAAATAAAGTAAACCAAATAAAATGTATAGCTTTGATCCTTGAGCTGGGTTCCCCTCGAATCAAATGAATATTTCGCCGGAAAGTATGAATAAAGTAACAGAAATATTGAGAGCTTAAGAGAATAAGAATATATTGCTTTTATGTAATGTGTATATGATGATGTTTTACAAATGATCAGACCCCTTTATATAGTAGGGTAGTCTAGACCCCTTTATATAGTAGGGTAGTCTTGCTGTTGATATAAGTCTAAATACAGTAAGAAATCTCACGATTGGCTAATTAATCGGGCTCTTCTTGATATGTGCCGGGATTTGCGCCGTGATCTTTGCCCGATTGCGGATATTTTGTCTTTCCGTTATTCGACCCCGTAAGCTTCCCTCGAACTCCAACTTATTTGGTCTTGATCTTGGTCGGTCTCGCTTTTGGTCGGTCTCGATCTTAACCGGTCTCAGGGTTTCGAGCTTGACAACCTAACTCTGCACCATATGAATCGAAGTTGATCCTCGACTTATCATGTTCCAGCCTCGATCAGTCGCACAGAAAGGGCAAGCCCGATTTTGACCGTATACATGCTGCCAACACCTTCCGGCCTTCAAATGGTAACCTTTTCTCTTTTAATAACTACTCTATACGGGGCAACTTGCGTATACCTCGACTAATCCATGGGTACCTGCATCCTCCCATCAGTACATTTACAGAGCAATTCTGTCCAACAAGGCTCAAACAGATGAGAAGATATCTCTAAGATATTTTACCTCTACTGAGATTTGAAACCTAGTCTTCGATGAAACTACATCATGCATGTCGTGGAGGGCTTATTTCAGCTCTTCATGACTTTGTGCTGCCAACATCTTTTAGTACCTTCCGAAGGTTTCCTTCTGCAAAAAGAACCATTACGCAATGTTGTCCACAAGTTGGAGAACGGCTAACTGATGGAATGTCTACATTATAATGCTTTTTCCCACTGCTACTTTTGGCAGCTGTACCTGCAAATACGCTTGGTATTTCTGCACCTAGTTGCTTAGAAATGGGTTCTTTAACCCTCATACCCTTGTGTTCTTCACACCGTTTTCTTCCTGCTACAGGTTGCCTGGTGCAGAAACTACCATCGGTTAAATGAACTCCACATATGACACTGTGGTTCTGGTTGATAAGAGGACAGCTGGAGAAATCTTGAGGGTGCTGTGTATCAGCCCTACGGGATAACATCTGATGACAATCATTACTAGAATAAGTCCTGTATTCCAGTAAAGACTGGCCATTTTTGTCTGTCACTGGCTGAGAAATGCAGCCTCGATTTCTCCTTCCCTTGTGCTCCAAGCATCTTTTATTTCTCTGGAATGGTTTTCTTGCACAAGGAGCACCACCATCCAAGATAAACCCACAAATTGGAGCATTTTCCTCGCCTCTACTTGCGCAAGGTCTTGTGCTCTCATTTATCACAGATGAATTTCCTTCTGCAATCAACTTGGAATTTACACCATTTACCTTCATTCCCTTGTGCTCAGCACATCGTTTATTTCCCGTTATTGGAGGCCTCATACAAACAGATCCATGACCCAAAGCTACACCACAAGTAGTATTTGGATCACCATTTACACCGGAACTTAGTGAAACTATTCTTGGCTTTGATCGACCAAATTTGAAGATTTGGGGAAGGAAATAAGTGCTTTTGAAACTATCATGAAAATCAGATCCGTTCTCCAACAAAAGGGGCTTGCAAGGTTTGATTCTGACACCTTTTTGTTTCTCAAGGGACAATTGAAGCTTCCTGACAAAAGCAGGAAGACGAGTTGCTCTTGAAATGCCATCAAGTTTGTGGAGAACATCATTGTGGCGACGTAAGCCATTACTGCCTTTATTCCAAGCATAGTCAAATCTGTCGAGCAGCTGGGATTCAGTTTTCTCAGCGTCTTTGTTGTCATTCATCTGTTAAATATTAGGAAACATTACCAAAATCCATTAGTAACTAAGGTATTTTTTGGTATAAGTCAATAGAGCATGTAATTACTTTCAATCTTTAACATGCTTAACTAAGCAAACAAATGGCTGGCAGACAGCTCACAATGATTCTTCAAAGAATGAACAAAAGTGAAATGCTGAAAGCAAAAACTCAACTTGGTCTATTAGTGTTGTGGTCTAGAGCTTAGTAAGATAACCTCATAATAGTAAATTCCCAAAAGATTACAGAGAAAAACTTGGAGAGCTTTAATCTGAATGCCAAATAGACTGACAACATGCAACTTCTAGTTGAAATTTTCCCAAGGAAAGGTAAGCGCAGCATTAAAATATCTACCTTCACATTAATTCCTCAAAACAAAGAAAAGAAACTATCTTCACTTGTTATTTGAATGAATGAGCGGAGCAACACCCTGATGCATTTCTATATCTTGAGGAGGAAATTACAAATTAACAACATTTGCAAGTGGCTTAAAGTTGTAGATAGGAGAAATATGTACTTACAGGTGCCCACCTATAAACGATAGAGAAGCCTCTTGAGAATGCTTCTGTAAACAATCCTGCTCTCTTTGAAGCAGATACATTTACTTGGTCGTGCAGTGCACTATTGGAGCAGCCATTCTCTAAATGAGCACCTTCACGGCCATACCGCTGTAGCCTAGTCCTAACATTGTCAGATTTTCCAACATATACAGGAACAATATAATCAGGGTCAAGTCTGCTCGCCTCTCGCCCAGCTTGGTGTCGTGTCACAGCTACTCCCAGCTCATAAACTCCAGAGCAGGAGGTGCAGTTTGGCAGGTTCTGAGTCCTATATTTCTCTGCTCCTCCTTCTTTCCCCAGTAAATAATCCGTCCAATCATTAGGCCCAATTAGAATCTGGCCATAAACACTAACAATGAATAAGAATGAGCCAATCAGAAGAACTAGAGTTAAGTTGCTAATATAACTCCCTACAATTCTGGAGCTTTATCACATATTCTCCGACAAGATAGATATTTGGAGAAACCCCAAATTTATTTGTTTATCTTCTGTGATGGGCTATTCCTTGCAAATATGCTTGAAGAAGATGACTTATGTGGCCGATTGGTTGTCATTCTCAACATCAAATTCTGTGATGAAGTTGAAGCTAAGAATGGAAATTTCTCTTCTTACTAGTCAAAAGTTGTTTGGCCTTTACTACAGCTCTAGTATATTAGATTTTTCTTTCCTTTTCTAAATCATGATTTACCTAATCAGCAAAAACTGCACGGCTACTCCAATCCAAACAACTAGAGACAGCTCTAGATCTGAATCTAAGCAACAAAAGCTGACCTTTAAGTCTGAAAGCTAGCGAAACGTGCAATTATGGGAACAAAAAGGGGAGAAGTTTTGATGGAACCTTCCAATCGGAGAAAGCAGAGTCGTGCTTTGTGCGCTTACAGTCTTCTCTTTTCAGCCGAACGGTGATGGATCTGTGAGTATCTCCCATTGAGCTAGCTAGCTAGCCTTTGCTCCGAGTTGTACATAGGACCGTTGCCTCCACCTTTATTTAAAAGTGCAGCGCCGTGCCGTTATTCACCCTCAAAAACCAACAAGAAAAAACCAAAATTATAAAGAAAGAAAATAATTACTACTATCAATGACTCACAAATTTATTCCTAGCCAGATTGTGTAAAATCTCACCTTAAGAACGAGTCCGTCAAGTATTTGTAACTAGTATATTCCTACTAGTATTAGTACCCGCGCTGATGCGCGAACACTAATCATGTCAAATATTTAAGTTATTTGGATTGTATGTAACTAATCTTAAAATTTACACTTTCTCAATAAATATAGATAATAATTGGATATTAACTACATGAAAAAAATTAACCATTTCTTCTATTTTTCTTTTTTGGTATCATTCTTGCCGGTGTCATTGGATCCTAAAAATAGTCAGAAAGCAAAATAATAACTCATATTTATGGCAAAACAATCAAATGTTGAGACAATGAATGACTATTTGGATAAGACTTAACTCTTTTACTACTACTTGAACTCTTATTTGGTATGTTGATATCTCTTAAAAAATATTTCTTTCTTAAAATTTAAGTTTTTAAAACATTATTTTTCAATAATAATTATTTTTATAATAATGTAATTGAAAATATTATTCTTAATTCAGAACTCATTTTAGTTGGCTATCTAAAAATATAAAAAATTCTTTAGCTAGTGAATTGTTTTTACTCCATTTTGATATTTGATATTAACTATGTTAAATATATGAGTTATTTGAATTATATGTAAATAACCTTAATATTTAAACCTTCTAAATAATTATAGATAATCGTCATATATTAATTAAGAAATACTACATGAAAAAAGACTAATATTTTCTCAATTCTCGTGATGATAATTTTATTTTTGCATTATTCCCATAGGTGTCATTGGAACCTAAAAATAGCCACAAAGTGAAATAATAACTCATATTTATGGTAAAGCACAAAGGTTGACACGATNTATTAACTATGTTAAATATATGAGTTATTTGAATTATATGTAAATAACCTTAATATTTAAACCTTCTAAATAATTATAGATAATCGTCATATATTAATTAAGAAATACTACATGAAAAAAGACTAATATTTTCTCAATTCTCGTGATGATAATTTTATTTTTGCATTATTCCCATAGGTGTCATTGGAACCTAAAAATAGCCACAAAGTGAAATAATAACTCATATTTATGGTAA